ACTTTATCCGTTCTATAAAGCATTCACAATTGGCAAAAGCATAACTTTGAGGGAGAGACGAGGAATGTGAAAGTGATAAAAGGTAATGAAGAAAAGGGAAGGCAAAAGAAAAGAAAGAAAAGCAAAAAAAATATGTCAAAAAGAAAGTGAATAAGATAGAAAAGTGAAGAGATTCAAAGAAAGCAACGATGAAAGGCATGGAATGACTAGAAAGGAGGAAAATGATCGTCATGAGCAAGAAAGAGTGACAGTGTGTCTCTCTAAGTTCCCCTAAGGAAGAAGAAAATGACTCAAAGAGTCAAGAAAATATGAGCCGAAATGAAAAAATGGAGTGCTTAAGGAAAGATGAAACCATCATATGCTAATAAGTCCCACCTTGATCCAAAAGCCTTCATTACATTCCTGCAAAAGCCCTATATGATTTCGAGTTGAGTGAACTTACATTAGTGGTGATATACATAAGGGGAAAGCTTATGGTACTTCGAGTCGGACTTGTTGAGAGAGATGAGCGTACTTCTCCACAATCCTTGTTTTGAGTGCTACAATCTAAAGTGAGATTTGCTTATGGAGAGTAGAGGAGGAAGAGTTTGGGTTCCACAATGACCTACGTAGTAGAGCGAGCTTCCTTGGTGAGTTAATTCAACTCTTGATGCTCTTGTGTCGCATTAGAACTATGGTACTCTAAAGGTTGTGTGTTGTTGATAGTTCATTTGTGTTGAGGTAATTGTTAGTCCCAATTGATGCATGTTTGATTCACATTAGGGAAGCTGAAATATCCTTCTGCTTTGTTTTAGTGGAGGTGGGAACTACCTTATTTGCTTGAGGACAAGCAAACTCTTAAGTTTGGGGGAGTTGATAAGTGGGGATTTTAACCTATTATTTGCTCTCATTTACTTGTGTTTTGGGCTTAAAATGCGTGAAGGTATTCCTGGAAACTAATGTAAAATGCTTGCTTGCAGGAACTGATCAAAATGAGCCAAAAGAGGCATAATCAGCTCACAAAGGAGTTAAATCTGGAACGAAAACCAAGACTGGGCCAGGAGCCTTGAACCTCGGACCGCACAAATATTGTGCAGTAGTGGAGGTCACAACGCAGTCGCGATCACAAATACGCTGTTCGTGAAGTGAAGAATCAGAGAGTGCACTTTAAGGCCAATTGTTGAGCGAGGTCCGCGCCAGAAATGTGCGGCCGCGAAAGTCTCACCACGGCCGCGGTTGAAATTATGCGGACCGCGGTGGATGAGATTCAAAGAAGTAACATTTCAAGGAAAAATAATTAGTGCGGTCCGCGGTGGAATTACTCGGCCGCGAAAATCCACTACGCGACCGCGATGGAAAGTATGCAGCCCGCGAAACAAATATTAGCCCAGATCTAGATGATGACAACGCGGACCGCGGTCAGTATTACGCGGCCGCGTAAGCAAGAGTGCGATCGCGGTAAGAATTACGCGGCCGCGAAACCTTTGCAGGGGTATTTTTGTCCGAAAATTTCAGCTTAGTATAAATAGATCTTTTTCATATTTTTAGGTTAAGTTTTGTTTTTGCTGAGAATGTGAGACGGCTGGATATTCTATTTTGGGCAATTTTGTATTAGATTCATCTTTTAACATTAGCTTTTCATATTTTAATCTAGTATTATGGTTATCTTTATTTCATCTTTGATTTCTGCTATTTCCATGAGTAGCTAAACCCATAGCTAGGGTTGTGACCCAACCCTAGTGTGGGTATTTGATGGCTTTTAAATTTTTGGGCTTGAATGTGTATCGGTTAGTAGTATTTAGCCTAGTTCTTGCTAGAACTATGGAATTAGTGGTTGTAAACACTGATTTATGCCTTTATGACTTAGTCTCTACTTGAGAAAGAGGGACTAAGTCTAGGAAAACTAGGCTAACAATGAATTAGGGTGAACTCAAGAAATTGATAGCCCCAATTAGAGGGTTAAACCTAGAGATAGTAATACCCGACTTGAACTAACATCACTTGCATTGCATGAATACCCATTTGGACTTGAGAAAGCCAAATTGGTCAAAATCACTCAAACTACCAAGAGGTATAGAGTGAGTACCCGGGTGTGATAGTTATACTACGACCCCAATTAATCACATGATTACCCTAGATTCTTGCTACCCTAGTCCCTTTAAACCCTTAAAAATCAACATAAAAACACTGTACTTAGTTTTAACTATTGCATGCTATAGGATAGAAGTAGAAGTAAAAAACAAACCAACCATGCGTGGAAGTGTAATTAAGAGCAAAACCCACATCTAGACTCGAATATAAATCTAAATCCAAACAAATTAACTCCTTGTGGATTCGATCCCGACCTTGTTGGATAAAACTGCATCGACCATCTTCGCTACTCAATAGTAGTGCAGGCTTGGACCCGATCACTAGCCCTGTTAGAGACTGTGCGCCCACCAGACTGTATAGAGAACCTGGTTCTCTATGTGTTTCCTCTGAAAGTACTGATGAACCAAACTGTATAAGGATCTGGTCCTATATCAGTTTGATATAGTGCTAATTTTGTGTGAGTCCACCAAATAGCAGAGTACCTGGTCCTTTATCGGGTTCTGTTGTGAATGCTAGTAAAGCTAAATGTAAATAAGGCCGTGGATTTTTACGTGGAAAAATCCCACACAAGGGGATCAAAAAACCACGACCTACACCTGTAGGCTTTTAACTTCACTAACTTGCAATCTCCCTATTACAAGTCACTATACAATAACTCTATTACAAAGATTTCAAATAACTTGTGATGCTCTCATCACAAGCCACTCTATAACTATCCTAGTTACAAAGAATTTGACTAACTTGTGGTATTTCCACCACAAGCCACTTTGTCACACTACGGTTACAAAGGCTTTGACTAACTTGTGATGTTTCCACCACAAACCACTTTGTCACCCTACGGTTACAAAGGAGTTTTCTTATGACTCAACCTAATCAATGCTTCTAAGAAAGCTGGATAGGAGTTACAATGAAGAAACAAATTACAAAGACTCTACAAACCTAAGGACTTAAAATATCTTTGATCTTGGATCCGGTCCTTGAGGTTGCAACAGCTTTGTTCTTGAGAGAGGTTCTTGAACACTTGAGAGAATATTTTACTTTTCTGAGTTTGCAAGCGTTGAACCTGAATCTTGTACCTTGCATAAGGTTTATACTACACAAGACATACTTAGTTATGTCCAATCTCAATGGTGATGTCAAATCTAAATGGAAAGTGGATGTTGCATTGTCTGTTGCACTGTTGCAGGCAGTCACTTTCTGCAATTGCTTTTCAGCTGTAGTTGGCTTGCACTTCTGTCAGAGAACCCTAAGGGACCAGGTCCCTATTGTGTTCCTCTTTGTACAGTTGCGGACAATCACTCAGTTGCGTTCCAGCTGTATAGTTGACTTGTACTTCTGTCCGGGGAGCACCAAGGGATCAGGTTCCTGATCTGGTTCTTGTGCACACTGCCCAGATTGTCTTGAGTTGAGTCAACTAAATGGTGTTTTGTACAAACTCATTGTATGTACACCTTGAGAATGATCACTTGAAGTGATGTGAGCACTTGAGTTGGTCAGAGAATAAGTGGGCGCTAGAAACAGTGCAGTGCGGCATAATCTTCGTTTCCAGTTGTGTCCAGTTGACTTTGTACTGCCGTGAGGAACCCACAAGAGTATCAGGTCCTTGTCTGGGTTCCTACCTCCTAAAACTGTAGCAAGTTCACATTTGGCTGGAATCCGTGATGCAATGTATTCCAAGTGAGTCAGGTTCCCTATCTGGTTCTTGACATTAAGTTTGTTAGATCATCAAAACACAAGGCAAAGATATTGAAAATCTATCAATTTTCCCCTTTTTGATGATGACAAACTTAGCATTGAAAACGAGGAGTTAGAGCACAGAGAACCAGTTGAACAACAGGAGACCACAGGTTCCCCCTGACTTTATGCCCTTACTTACACATGTTTCCCCATATGTTCCCCCTGACTTTTTACTATCATTCTTGGTCTTTTATCTGGTTATATACAGAAAGTTTGTTAGATCATCAAAACATAGTTTAAAAGACTTTAAGCCCATCAATTTCCCCCTTTTTGATGATGACAAACTTTTAACATTGATGACTATTTGACTTAACCAGATAAGGTACCAGCAACCGCATATATTCCCCCTGGCTCTATGCTTCCCCCTTAATTATTTGCTACAATATCAGTTTAATCAATTCTTCCCCCATTTTGGCATCACCAAAAAGACACAGTCAGACAAAAAGGCATAAAGAAGTCTAACAAAGCGAACTCATGCCACATATATGCACACAACATGATAGAAAAAAGAAGCAAAAGGGAAAACAAGCATTGTACAAGCAAAAGAAGAGTTGTTTCATTTAGAAAAAATTAGACTGTTTCAACAGGAGCAGCAATGGTGAAATCCAACATGCCATCACAAAAAGACAAACAAAAAGAGAAACAACAGCCACAAAATCATCAGAGCAAAAGATTACTGGCCACTGTGAGGATCCTAGGGGGCACTAGAAGAGGGAGGCTGGGAAGAGGAGGCAGCAATGGTTTTGAGAGCTAGGTCCATGCGGGTAGTTGCAGACAACTGTTAGTCAAGTAGTTTCTCCCGCAGGTTCACCACTAGTTGCCTAAGTCCAGAACTTGTCTCATACCTGTCATCTCCTAGATTGTCGGGAAAGCGTGCGACCCCATGAGACGTTTTCTGAGTTAACTCTCCTGCCCAAAGCCACTGTCACTTAGAATGGTCTTCATTGAACCAGGTCCTCCCACAGTTTCCCACTTTTGTTTTCTAGATATTTCAATAAACTTCCCATTTCTGCTTGCAATAGCCACAATGTCACCCTCAAACAAATCTTTCTAAGCCACAACCTTTTGTGGATCTTTCCACTAAGGAACGAGGTCCCTCCACAGCATCTTTATCAACCTCAACCACTGGAATGTGTTTATCAGCCACAGCTTCCCCCTATCTCATCAACCTCTCCCTTTTTTTAATACTCTGATTACTCTTCTACAAGTACAACCACCTGGTTTGTTTCAGCTAAAAGAGAATCAGGTTCTTCAACAGATTCTTCGATGACGGTATCATGAACCGGAGACTCAAAAAGCACCAAAGTCCTTTCATCCCCTAAGAATGGAGTTTCTTTCCCCTGAGATTCAGGAACAGAGGAGAAGTAGGGTTTGCAACACATGGAAGTGAGACTGGAGATGAGGTGACTGGAGATGAGGAGGAAATCGGTATGGGTACAGTAGTATCAGGGATAGTGAAGAAGTGGGTTTCCGGTGATGGTGTTAAGGGAGGAGGAGATGTGGGAGTGATGTTGATGGAAAGAGAAAAAGAAGATTATTTGTTGGCCATGGTGAGAGAAGTGGTAGAGAGTTCTCAAGGAAAAATTAAAGTGATGCAGAGGGAGACAATGGTTTAGAACTGCTGGTCTGAAAAGTCGGATGATGTGGCAGTTGAATTAATTTTGCTATCCTTTTTCTTTGAACAAGCATGTGAAAAACACATTACTACTAACTTGTGGTGCAGGAACCAGGTTCCTGACCTGTTTTTGTAAAAGGGTTTTTTTACAGCTCTCCTCCGAAGTTCAAAATTGTACCTTTAGCTTCTATGATCATCATACTTGTTTACCTGCAACGGTATAGATGTGAGTTAGGCCTAGTCAGAAAATACTTTAGCCAATTTTACCTTAGTGTGACTATCACAGTCATGTCAGCAGAAACAGGTTCTCGATTAGGTTCAAGTAATCCCAATGCCATCTTGTTTCTCAAAGTGTTCCCTGCTCAGAGCTTTGTAAATATATCTTCAATATGATCTTCCGTGCAACAAAAACTTATACAAATAAGACCCTTTTCCACATAGTTGCTTGATCCACAGTGAATGAGCACATCACTTGGCAGCTGCAGCATATTATGCTTCAGTTGTTGAGAAAGCTACTGAGTTTTGTTTCCTTATACCCCATGAGATAAAACATGATCTAAGGAAATGAGCCATTCTAGATGTGTTTTTCCTGTCCACCAGATAACCTGCATAATCAGCGTTAGCATAACCAATAAGGTTGATAACTGTCCCCTGAAGGATAGTTCAGAACCAGGTTCTGTGTGCCCAAATATCTCAGAATTCTCTTAGCAGCCTTCAGATGAGATTCCTCAGGATTTGATTGGAACCTTGCATGTAATCCCATACTGAATACAATGTATGGCCTGCTTGCAGTAAGGTAGAGTAGAGATCCAATGATTCTCATGCTTCCATATCAATTTCAAGAGTTTGCATTTCTAACTGATACACGTTCCCTTTATGGACTGCTTCACTTGAAGACCCAGGAAGACATTCAGTTCCCTCATCGTACTCATCTCAAACTCACTTCCCATGAGTTTAGCAAATTCTTCACATAATGAGTTAGCTGTAGCTCCAAACATGATGTCATCCACATAAATCTGATCAATGAGCAGGTTCCTTCCCTGTTTCTTTAAAGACAATGTATAGTCAATATTTCCTCTTGTGAAGCCATTTTCCAAGAGAAACTTGGATAGTCTCTCGTACCAGGTTCTAGGGGCCTTCTTCAATACATACAGTGCCTTATCCAGTTTGAATATATGTTCAGGATATACATGACGTTCATGTGATTTGGGTCATCACTTGTTTTAAAATGAAATTCTACATTCTGAGGCCTTAAAAACCTCTTTTAGCATCACCTCGATTTGCATGCGTAGTCTGGGCGCGTAGCCGAAAAGCCTATATGTGAAAATCTATGAAAAAAAAGATAAATTTTGACCATAAAATGAATTAATTTGACTTCGGTCAACGTTTTGGGTAAACGGACCCGGACCCGTAATTTGACAGTCCCGGAGGGTCTGTAGGAAAATATGGGACTTGGGCGTATGCCCGAAATCGAATTCCGAGGTCTTAAGCCCGAGAAATAAATTTTTAAAGAAAATTATTTTCTGGAATTGTTTAAAGTATTTTGAAATGAAATTTGATTAGAACATGATGGTATCGGGCCCGTATTTTGGTTCCGGCGCCCTGTACAGGTCTTATATATGATTTAAGATGATTTTGTGAAATTTGATGAGAAACGGGTGTCATTTGACGTGATTCGGACCTAAATTGCAAAAATTGATGAAGTTTGAGGAAAATTTCTTTGATTTTGAGGTTTAATTCGTTGTTATTGAGGTTATTTTGGCGATTTGATCGCATGAATAAGTCTGTAGGATGTTTTTGAGGTTTTTGTGTGCACTTGGTTTGGAGTTCCAAGGTCTCGGGTGAGTTTCGGGTAGGTCCCGGGATGTCTTAGGCTTAAAAACATGGATGTTGCAGGTTCAGAGAAGTGCAAACCTATGAACCCGCAGTGTTGACCGCAGTAGTTTTTGTGTTGTCCGCACTGGTGACTGTGCGGCCGCAGTAGATTTTGTGCGGTCCGCACAGATTCACTGGTCCGATTTCGGAAGCTCATATCTTTTAATCTACAAGGAATTTGGGGATAATTCAAAAACAAAAGTGTAGATCTTAGAATTTAGTTTTCAGAAACATATTATAATAGGCATTTGGACATCTGTAGAGAAAGGTATGGCCAAAATACTAAGACCTGTCACTGCAGAACACAAGTAGTGTCGTGCGACCGCAGTTGATTTTGTGCGGTCCGCACAGGACATCTGAGAATAGTATATTTAGACGGGATTTTCAGTTATTTTTCATTTTTCAAAACCCCAAAAACATAAGAGGCAATTTTTCAAACAACCTTTCTTCTCCAAAACGTTGGTAAGTGATTTCTAACTCATTTTCTTCACTCCTTAACATCTTTTTACATGATTTCAACTCAAAATCAACAATTTTCATGGGGGAAATTGGGTGTTTTGGGTAGAACCTAGGTTTTTCAAAAATTGGGGATTTGGACCTCGATTTGAGGTCCGATTTCAAAATAAATTATATATTTGAGTTCGTGGGGGAATGGGTAATCGGGTTTTGGTTCGAACCTCGGGTTTTGGTTCGAACCTTGAGTTTTGACCATGTGGGCCCGGGGGCGATTTCGACTTTTTGGGTAAAACTTTGGAAAATCCATTTTCATGCATTCAAATTGATTCATTTAGCGTTTATTGATGTAATTAAGTAACTTATGAATAGATACGAGCGAATTAGTGGTGGAATCAAGGGGTAAAGCTATAATTGGATCGTGAATTGTGTTTGTGGCATCGAGGTAAGTGTTTGGTCTAACTTTAGCTTGAGGGATTAGGAGTGTGTCCTATATGCTAATTATTTTTTTGTTGAGTACGACGTATAGGCATGGTGACAGTATCTATACGTTGGTGTCGAGCATGACCATGGGTCTTATATTGTGATTTTTATGACTTCGTTGTATTATTCATGCCTTGGTGAAAATTTCTATTTGTTGTGTAAAGTTGTGGAAAGAATTGTGACCTATGAACGTTGAGAAGCGTTGGTTCCAGTTGTATAACGAATTGTGAAGGTATAAGTGATAATTGAACCTCTAGAGCAGTGGCTCGAGTTGTGAAGTGAATTGTGAAGTAAAAGTGAGAAAGAAAAGAGATCATTATGTTGCCCCCTTGCTGGGCTATTGTTGAGTTGTGATTCCCTTGCATTGTGTTCTTAATTGATATTACGGATACTTAGGTTGATGATTCTTTGTGTTAGGAAAGGATTATGGTATAGCTGAGGTAGTTAGGTGTTGTAACAAGTTTGATTATAGCTGAGGTAGTCAGATGTTATGACAAGTTTGATTATAGCTGAGGTAGTTAGATGTTGTAACAAGTTTGGTTATAGTTGTTTCTCCCTTGTCGGGACGTATTTACTTATGCTGTCGAATCCCTTGCCGGGATAGTGTAGACCTTTTGATCCCTTGTTGGGACTCTCGTTATAATTGACAATATTATATATGGATCGGGTTGCACGCCGCAACAATATTATATATGGATCGGGTTGCACGCCGCAATAATATTATATAAGGATCGGGTTGCACGCCGCAACAATATTATGTATGGATCAGGTTGCACGCCGCAACAATATCATGTATGGATCGGGTTGCACGCCGCAACAATATTATATATGGATCGGGTTGCACGCCGCAATAATATTATATAAGGATCGGGTTGCACGCCGCAACAATATTATGTATGGATCAGGTTGCACGCCGCAACAATATCATGTATGGATCGGGTTGCACGCCGCAACAATATTATATATG